ATATGCCGGGAGTTTTCCAAAGGTTATTCTTTTTCATGATATGCTTTAAACAATTAGACTTTTGTCCTGTCTGCTCCAAAGGTCTGGGCCACTATAGCAGTGCCATGGGCAAAGTAGTAAGTTTGATGGCTGATAAACCATCACCACCACAACTAGGAATATTTATTTGTCTATGTGTTTAAAAAGATTTATATCCCATTTTTTATTTTCCAAAGAACCACCAAAACTGATTCATAAAATCATAAAACATAAAAATATCCAATAAAACTATCAAGGACTGATATTAAGGGTCAGGGAAAAGCTGGGTGGATGCCTTCAGCTGGCAATGAAAATACCCCATAGTCAGGGCTCACCACATCTTAACAAAGAGAATACTCCACATGGTAGTTTCCACAACACAGAAGACCCTCCTCTTCAGCTTCACCAGATAGATATCCTTAGATGGTATGGTCCAGAAGGTCCCATATCTGCAGACCACAGTGGTCTGGGTGGTTTACAAGAGCACCCGGCAGGTGTGCTGGTGCTATGCAGCCAACCTCCCAAAAGTGACGTCACTGCCATTTACCAGGGTGGCACAGAGGTGGAGCTGGGTGTCATCAAGGTTGCAGGTGGTTCAGGTACACCAGCAGGAGTGCTAGATTGGCTCTGCTGGTGTACCCAACTCCATTCTCACTGCCACCATGCTCCACACCTGCATTGCCCTGATAAGCAGCAATGCTCCTGCTGCTAGGAAGCTGACTCCACGCGGTGTTGCCATGTCAGATGCTCCTGAAGGTCCTGATTCTCCACAGCAATGTTGTTCTAAGAGTACAGGATGTCTTGTAACTTTCACAATGCCTGCACAAGGTATGGACAGGGCCCCAGAATCATCAGCATGCTTGGATACAACGGAAGCAAGCAAGGAAAGTGAAAGAAAGGCAAACTAAACTTAGTTTAATGTTCCTAGACACACTTTTGGTGGCTGTTTTTCTCTTAGTGCAGTGGATGTTAATTAAAGTTGCTTATTCCAACACTAATTCACTTAGACTGCAATCCTATACACATACTTATTGGGTGTAGGTGCTACTGAGCTCATAAGACCATATGAGTAGGTATGCATAGGACTGTACTGTCAGTTAATTGTTTAAACCTCCAGAAATTTACCTAATAGTCTTACATATCAAATTATTCAATAGACTTTAACAGCATTTCGTGGCAATCAGCTGCATTGTTTATCCTGAATAATTACAACTGGGCATAGCCAGCGTGGTGCTCTCCAAATGCTTTGGACTCTGGCTGCCATCAGCCTCAGCCAGCATGGCTAATAATCAAGGATGATAAGAATTGGAGTCATTGGAAGGGAGCCACATTAACTACCTCTGAATTAGAATGTGCCAGTGATTTTGGCCCACCTAATTTCAAAACTGTTTTCAGGTTGGTTGGTTGGTTGGTTGGTTGGTTTTCAAATGGCATTTAGAATGTTAGCTGAAGTACAAATGTTAGAAGTACAGAAGAATCTTTAGCAAGGAAACCTTAAGGGCAGGAAAAACAAAACTCCAGACTCCAGACTCCAGACTCAGGAGGTACTGACTGCTGACTACTGGGATGTGAGGGAAAGTGGTAGAAGGAAATGAAATGGAGTATTCTGGGAAAGGGCATGGCTGAATGTCTGGAATCCTTAAAGGGAGCACTCCAGACGGCAGTATTTTGTCCCACTTGTGAATAACTAATCTTTGGGTTAAACTGCAATCTCCTGGTGAGGGTCGGGATAGTCACCTTGGCCATTTAGATTAACCGATGCATTGTAAAGGTTTTGCTACCATGAATGTAGAGGGCAAAAGAGGCCTTTGCCTTCTCACTCCCACACTTTAAACAAATTTAATCACACAGTACAGTTGGTCATTAAAAGAAATGGAAAGTAGCTGCCCTACAGTAATTGTGTCGATATTTTACTCTTACCCTTCTTAATGTTCTAATTGGAAGCTTTTCAGCTAAACGAGATGTGGGCTTTTATTCACAAATTCTAATTTCCTCTAGCCAGATTTGCTTGAGCTTGCTTGTTGATTTCTAACCTTGTAATATATATAAATTTCTTGGCAAGGGGGGGCAATGGCAATTTTTATAGCAATGCTTTCTTTGGAATGCTGCTTTCATAATGAACATAAATTGTTAGCATTTATCATCATGTGATGTAATCATATAAAGGCCTTTTCCATCTTCATCCCCATAAGGTACTGTTCGTTATATTGCATTATCATGACAAATGACAAGATTGCTTCCATGACATTTCGGCTATTACAAAACTCTGAAGGGAATGGTTGTATATAATGCTAGCCAAACCCTTCTGAAACAAGTGCATGCATTTGCAAGACAAAATCGCAAGACTTGGAAGCAACCTCAGAAAATCTGTTAGGTAGTTTTACTTCACAGTATTTGTTTCAGGAGGAAAGTGCTTTCATTAAAGCTTGACTTTAACATGAGTGAAGAAATTGCAAACATGTTGTGGGCACCTGTAAAGTAGGTAATGCCACATATTTAACCTTTTGTTAAATGGGATATTCAATAAGCCAGAAAGAATGTCAGCATGCATTAGGAACCCTGGCAAAGTCATGGAGGTATGTTTGAGTTTGGGGCAATACTATGTCAATCTGGCTGGGATGGTAGACTTTTTTTGTGGGGTGAGGGATGGAAGACACTTGGGGAATCAACCAGTATATCTGGTGGATAACTCTGCCCCAAGTAGAGTCAGGCAACAGTAACAATCTTAGCCCAAACACCATCACTCTTGGTCTTAGAAGACTTGTAGTCACCTTCACTGCACTCAAGATTAAGTGTTATTAATGCCCATCAGAGAAAAGTCTCACAGGAAGTGGTCATTAACCTAGAAGATCATCAGCAAACATCTCCTTGAGGTGAGGCATGCAACCATTGTGAACTGCTGCACCAGTCACTCATTTGGTGGGATTTCTTTATGGAAAATCCCTCAGCAGTGGTGCCATTTGGCAGGGAGATCAGCAGTAGGTGGAACCAGAGTCAGTGACAGGCAATAATAAGAAAGTAGGCAGATGGACTGGCTGAGAGCAGACTGAGGTTGTTGGGGCAGCAGCCCCTTTGATCTAATGAGCCAGTCTCCACCACCACCAGTAGTCCAGGATATGCTACTTCTGCCAACCTAGCAGTTCAAAAGCATACCAGAGCAAGTAGATAAATAGGTACCATTGCGGCAGGAAGGTAAATGGCATTTCCATGCACTCTGGCTTCTGTCACAGTGTTCCCTTGTGCCAGAAGTGGTTTAGTCATGCTGGCCACATGACACAGAAAGCTGTCAGTGGACAAACACCCACTCCCTCGGACTGAAGTGAGATGAGCCTCACACCCCATAGTCGCCTTTGAGTGGACTTAACCATCCAGGGGTCCTTTAGCTTTTTTACCTTTACATCGATACATTCTATTTCCCCTGCTGTAGCCAGATATTTGCTCAGCAAGCAAAGTGGAACTGGAGGGTTCTACATTGCTTGCCATTCACTGGATCATTGGGTCTGGCTTTTATATTGACAACACTATTGTAGTTCTTCTATTGTAGCCGGTTCATCAGATCAATCTGTAACTGCACTGACGTGTAATGTTACAAAAATAACTACAGGTGCTGAAGATGGAGAAAATGCCAACACTCAGCCCAGTGGTCATGAGTAAATGCCACGCTTGTCTCTCTTTCTGCCAACACTCCAATTGCTTTACCTGATCAAAACAAAGTCATGACATTTCACATTGTCATAAAATAATGGGAGGGATTATTTGACATAAAAGATGATCTTTTGTCCTGTCAAGGGATGAGTTAATGTAGGCTAATATTACAAATTTAAGGAGCAGGAGGTTATACTTTAAGTCAATCACTGTCAGGTGGATAAACATTCATGGTTACCTGAAATGTTTCATGAACTTCTCTCACAACACTTAAATGAACCTGTGTAAAAACATTTAGCAGATTGGACAAAAATGATGGGCAGATACCAGGATTTTAGCTATAGGCCTGGATAGTCATCTCTCTGAGCTGATACATTCACAGTTTTGCATGAATATAGGTGCTAGGTGCTGTTGCTTTTGACAAGAGGAGCCAACATGTGCCAGAGGTGGATTTAGGGGAGCAAAACCGAGACAAAAGGGTGCCTCAGGGGGCACCACAACAATGACAGAGAACAAAAAACAAAAGGCGGCAGGCACTGCATATTTGTGTTGCACAGGGAGCAGCTGAAATTTGAAAACCCAAATGGGCAACGTAACTCTTTGTGTAAGTTCCCTACCAAGGGGGCATTTTGAGTACAAGAAACATCCTGGGGCCAGGGACAGGAACAGAGCCAACACCCTTCCTTCCGAGCAATTCCCTAGAGATGCCAGGGATGGGAATCTGGGAGTTGCTACTTGTGACAACAGCAGCTTTTGCTGGTACAGCCGCAGCAGCGCTAACCCATTATCATTCCACTGGTGCAATGTCTTTTATTAGTTTGTGATGCCAACACGGTGTCACATGACCTGACATTGTTGAAAGGCGTTTCCGTGCACTGTTGCACCAGAAGCGGTTTAGTCCTGCTGGCCACATGACCCGGAAAGCTGTCTGTGGACAAACACCAGCTCCCTTGGCCTGAAAGCAGAGATGAGCGCCACACCCCATAGCCGAATTTGACTGAACTGGGGGTCCTTTACCTTTTTTACCTCAGCTTAAAGATTTTATACTTGTTTGTGTAGCACAGTGGCTCCAGAGGCATAACTAGGGGCTGGCAATACCAGCCCCAGCTTTGGGGTGGGGCAGGCGGGCACAAAAAATCACCTATCAGGCATTGAAGTCCTCCCATGACACTCCCCGCCCTGACTCAGCACTACTTTGGCCTCAGAATGAATCTGTTGGGATCTCAAATAGGAAAAGCTGTTGCTGCTGCTGCCGCTGCCGGAGGGGGTGCAAGGGGTTGTCAAAGAGGCTTCCAGGCACACAGGAGTGTGGGCATCCCATCCAGTCCCAATAATAATAATAATAATAATAATAATAATAAATTTTATTTATATCCCGCCCTCCCCAGCCAAAGCCAGGCTCAGGGCGGCTAACAACAAACAAATAATCAAACAATCAAATAATCCAACATTCTAAAACATTTCATTATAAAAATTAATTAAAATCAAATTAATGGCAACCGTTAAGCAAAGTTCTGTGCAGGTTGCCGGAGGTGGGAGTCAGGCTGGGCCCTGACCAAAGGCCTGGTTGAACAACTCTGTCTTGCAGGCCTTGCGGAAAGATGTCAGGTCCCGCAGGGCCCTAGTCTCTTGTGACAGAGCGTTCCACCAGATTGGAGCCGCAGCCGAGAAAGCCCTGGCTCTAGTTGAGGCCAGCCTAACCTCTCTGAGGCCTGGGACCTTCAGGATGTTTTTATTTGCAGACCGTAGGTTCCTCTGTGGGGCATACCAGGAGAGGCGGTCCCGTAGGTACGAGGGTCCTAGGCCGTATAGGGCTTTAAAGGTTAAAACCAGCACCTTAAACCTGATCCTGTACTCCACCGGGAGCCAGTGCAGCTGGTATAGTACCGGATGAATGTGATCTCGCAGCGAAGACCCCATAAGGAGTCTCGCCGCGGCATTCTGCACCCGCTGGAGTTTCTGGGTCAGTCTCAAGGGCAGCCCCACGTAGAGCGAGTTACAATAATCCAGTCTGGAGGTGACCGTCGCGTGGATCACAGTGGCTAGGTCAGGGCGAGAGAGATAAGGGGCCAACTGCTTAGCTTGGCGGAGATGAAAAATGCCGCCTTTGTTATAGCTGTAATCTGCGCCTCCATAGAGAGGGAGGTATCGAAGATTACACCCAAACTCTTAACGGACGGTGCTGGCACTAATTGCACCCTCGCAAGAGATGGGAGTTGCCCCCCCAATCCCATATCGTCCCGTCCCAGCCAGAGGACCTCTGTCTTCGAAGGATTTAACTTCAACCGGCTTCCGCGTAACCATCCAGCCACAGCTTCCAAACATCTGGTCAGTGTGTCTGGGGCCGAGTCAGGATGGCCATCCATCAACAGATAGAGTTGGGTGTCATCGGCATACTGATGGCAACCCAGCCCAAAACTCCGGACAAGCTGGGCGAGGGGGCGCATAAAGATGTTAAAAAGCATCGGGGAGAGTATCGCACCCTGAGGCACTCCACACACCAAGGAGTGGCGGGATGACAATTCCCCCAAGCGCCACCCTCTGTCCCCGACCGGAGAGAAACGAGCGCAGCCATTGAAGGACTGTGCCCTGGATCCCCACGTCGGCAAGGCGGTGGTCCAGGAGTTCGTGATCAACCATGTCGAAGGCTGCTGACAGGTCTAGAAGAATCAGCAGCCCCGACCCGCCTCGATCCAGCTGCCTGCGGAGATCATCTGTTAGGGCGACCAGAGCCGTCTCGGTCCCATGACCAGCGCGGAAGCCAGACTGGAATGGATCCAGAGCCGATGTTTCATCCAGAAACCTACCAAGCTGTTCAGCAACCGCTCTCTCAATCACCTTACCCAGGAATGGAAGATTCGAAACCGGGCGGTAATTGGATAGATCTAAGGGATCTAATGATGTTTTCTTTAAGAGCGGGCGCACCACTGCCTCCTTCAATTCCCCTGGAAATATCCCGGTGCCAAGGGACAAATTGATGATATCCCCAGGGGCCCGCACCTCGCCTGGACACGCTCTAATCAGCCAAGACGGGCACGGGTCAAGAGGACAGGTGGTGGGCTTTCCAGCTCGGAGGAGTCTGTCCACATCGGCTGGGGATATCCGATCAAAGTGGTCCAATACTGGACCCGAGGACAGTCGAGGGGCCTCCAGTTCCTTTATTGTATCCAAATTGGCAGGGAGGTCATGGCGGAGCAACAGGACCTTCTCCGCAAAAAAAGCTCGCAAATGCCTCACAGCTGTGTGTCAGATTGTTATTTAAATTTGGCTGTCCTTCAAGGGACGTCAAAGACCTAATTATACTAAATAATTGTGCCGGGCGAGAGCTAGCGGATGCAATGGAGGCCGAGAAGTAAGACTTCTTAGCGGCCTTCACCGCCATCTCATAGGTTTTCATAAAAACCCTATAAGATGTTCTTGAGGCTCCGTCACGGGCACCCCGCCATACTCGCTCTAGCCGTCTGAGGTCCCGCTTCATTTTCCGAAGCTCCTCGGTAAACCAGGGAGCCCGGTTTCTGCGGAGTCGCAGAGGGCGCTTAGGTGCGATCTCATCTATGGCTGCCAGGAGCTGGGTATTCCAGCCCTCAACAAGCTCAGTCAATGAGTCGCCAGGGGGAGCAAGGTCCCGCAAGGCTTGACGGAATCTATCAGGGTCCATCAGCCTCTGCGGGCGAGCCCAAATCGGCTAACCACCTAAGCAGGGTGGGGGTGGAAAGTCAATCCTGGCTTTCAGAGCGTAGTGATCAGACCATGGCACCTTAATTGAAGGAGACATGATCACATCTATACCTACGCCAAAGATCAAATCCAGCGTGTGGCCTGCTTGATGTGTGGGGCCTGAAACAAACTGGGAGAGCCCTAGTGTTGCCATGGAAGACACCAGGTCCAGAGCCTGTGAGGAGGGAGTGGCATCAGCATGGATGTTGAAGTCCCCAATACCAATAGGTTAGGGAACTCCAAGGCCCAGCCGGCCACCGCCTCCAGTAGGCCTGACAGGGTGGCTGCTGGTGCGCTAGGTGGCCGGTACACCAGCCAGACAGCCAAGCTCACCTCAGAGCCCCACACTAGGCCAACACATTCAATGCCGGGGATCGATGGCGATGGTAGAGCCCTGAAAGGACAATCTTCCCGGATTAATAATGCCACCCTCCCCCGGCCCACAGTCCGTGACTGGTGGAGGACGGAGAAACCCGGGGCGCCATCTCTCGTAAGGTAACTGTTGCCCCTTCGCGTACCCAGGTCTCCGTCACACAAGCCAGGTCAACCCCCTGCGAGGTAAAGAAATCTCGCAGAGTGGCGGTTTTGTTGCCTATAGACCTGGCATTGCACAACACCAGTGACGGAGGTGAGTAATCCTTGCTCACCCTACCCTCGTCCCTCGGGATGGGGCGCAGATTGGAAGGGGTACGAGCATATCCGTATCTCGATCCCCTTCGCCTGTAACATCTGCCCCCACCAAGCAGGTACATTCCTCCTGTTCAGGCAACCTCACCTGTTTCTCAGATTTTTTTTGAGGGTGGGGGTACCAATACAGCGCCTTGCCCAGGGTGCAAGGGATTCTACGCTCTGAGTGGCTCATACAAGCTGCTGAACAGACCCCCCCCCAAAAAAAAGGCTGAAGACAGAATTCCCTGTCCCTGGAATTAGTGCCTTAGATATTGTTCTGGATAACACTGAAACAGAAGTCAGATACTTTCAGATGTACCCATTTTTGACACATTTTTTCCCCCTACTTTCCCAAGAAATATGAATAACCTTAAAGGCATCTCTGTTTTGGCAAACCATCCCCCCCCCCACTTTGCTTTAATGTGAAAGATTTGAAACGGAGCTATTTGAAACAGAGCTATGAAAACAACCTGTTTCAGATTTTGAACAAGGACGGAAACAAGGACTTGCTAATAATATTTCTTACTACTGAAAGCTGCTCATCCAAAACACATTTTATAAAAAGTACATTTCTGATGCCTTTTTTAAGGGGTAGTAGATTTACTTCTGAGAAGATATAGATTGGATTGCACCCCCCAAAAAAACCTTTTTGTTTATTAAGAATGGGTTTGTCACATGCCTCAAAAAGGATCAGAAACTGTTTTTTATTCATATTTTATTATTCCGCATCCCTATTATTTTAATCATTGCCTACAACATAGGCATGTCATTGAGAGTAAGGCAAAATGGGACCATTTTGATGTATGGTTAGTTATATCACTAAATCTCATAGTCACGCTAGGCCATCTGCATCCAAAACAGCAATGTGGGGCTACCTCAAATAATGAGAATGATTACGGTATAATTCTTTTTATGTTTATTCACAATGTATCTTAACCAGCAGACAAGTTGTTTTCATGCTTAGTGGTGGGTTTTTGTTATGGTTTTACATATATATTTGTTTTGTGGTACTGTATTAGGTGAAATTTTCTAATGTAATTCTACAAAAATTCAATAAACGTGCTTTTTAAAAAAAAATAAGTACAGTAAGTGAGGTCACAATGAGTCATGGCTCCTTGTAAATCTTAGAACTTAACCTATATGTTCCATACTCTTGTCAGAAATGTACAAAAATGAAACAACTTACTTTCAATCATCACCATAGCAACGCTAGGCAAAGGGAACGAGGTAGAGGCACTGAGTCAGGGCAGGAATCTTGTATTGTGATACGATTTGTGTAAATCCTGATTTGTATTAAAGCTTCTTTTTCGCTGGTAGGCTATTTACCCCTTTTAAACCTTCTATTTTTCCACTCTTGATAATGGGGAAAGAATAAGGATTAGCCACATTTGTGTCATGTTGTGTTAATCTGCAGAAAGGCAATAAGGAGAGCAAATCCAATTGGAACTCCACATGCTTTTGTGGAATAGCATGGTGGCATCTTTCGGCTCAAAGCATGACATCCAGATAGATGCTGATTGTACTTTTTAGGCATCGATTTCATAATACATTGGGAATGTCAGGATAGTGCAGCCAGTGGAGCATGAGTCTCTTAAACTCAGGGTGGTGGGTCAGAGCCCCCTGTTGGGAAAAACATTCCTGCATTGCAGGGGGTTGGACTAGATGACCCTCGTCGTCCCTTCCAAATTCTACAATTCTGTGATAATTTGCACTAACGGGTTGCATTTTCAGAACCATCCTCGTCATATGCCTCCTTCCAGCACATTCTGCAGCAGGGAGCCTGTTGTCATCATTTAGGCTCCCTGGCAATTTAGAGCAGGGTTCTGGATCATGCAGTGAGGCCTACACAACTACAACAGGCTCCTCGCGGCAAATATTTGCTCTGAACATGTGGGAAGCCAGAAGCTGTGCAAGTGAGACAACAATGGTGTTGGGGTTAATAGTTTGCTCCCACAACCCCTTTCTACTTGTGTTTCCCCTTTCAACTGAATAGGGCTACACAGATTGCCTCCTCACTTGCATACCCAACCAATCACTGCATTCCACAAGAGAAGGCATTCTTCAGATACCATCCTTCCAGGAGGGTCATTCTTCATGCTGTCAGAACAGGGCCTTTAGGGTGGTGGCAGCTACCCTTTGGAATCCCCGCCCCCGCCTGCTACAGACATTCCTTTTTCAACAAGCCTTCTAAATGGCAAGCTTTATCCCAGTTGGCACCTGTATTTTTTATTGATCGTATGTTCTGGTGTTGTTCTGAACTGCATGTGTTTTTGTCCACATGTATATGTGTGTGTAAGGGACACGGGTGGCGCTGTGAGTTAAACCACAGAGCCTAGGACTTGCCGATCAGAAGGTCGGCGGTTCAAATCCCTGCAACAGGGTGAGCTCCCATTGCTCGGTCCCTGCTCCTGCCAACCTAGCAGTTCAAAAGCACATCAAAGTGCAAGTAGATAAATAGGTACCACTCTGGCGGGAAGGTAAACGGCATTTCCATGCACTGCTCTGGTTCGCCAGTGGCAGCTTAGTCATGCTGGCCACATGACCCCGAAGCTGTACGCTGGCTCCCTCGGCCAATAAAGCGAGATGAGCGGCGCAACCCCAGAGTCAGTCACGACTGGACCTAATGGTCAGGGGTCCCTTTACTTTTACCTATATGTGTGTGTGCTATATAAAAACAATTACAACAATTACATATATATGTAACTGTTCTGTATATGTTTTTATTATATTGTATATTGGGGGTGCCTCATGGGAAGTGATTCATAAATGAAATAACAAGAAATCGTTCATATTGTTTTCAGAATTTTCAGTGGGCCTTTTCCTTTGTAAAGCTGATGTGACAAACACATAATGTTAACAAAGGAAAATGCACTTTTAGGGGTGCAATAATGGTACTTAAACAAAGAGAGAATCCCTCTAGAAATATGCTGCTACTTGTCCAAATCTTTATGCAAATACTTTTCAGCTTTATGCACAAGCAGGCTGTAGTCACATCTTTAAAGATGATTTCCTAACAGAAAAGGGAAAAAGAATACAACCCTTCTTTCAGTCTCAGTAACTAATTCACTAGCTGGAAAATCCCTGCAGGCCAAATATAAAACCTTTATTCAAATTATTGATGAAACTGACAAGGGAAGATTCCTTTTAGTTTAATCAGAATGGATTACAATGAGCCTATCTCATTACA